TGGTTTCATTTAAATCTGATTGTCAATCTGACCCACAGCTATGGAGATTTGATTATTTTTTTTCCTTGTTTGTCTGTTATGCTTGGTGAAATTTAAGGCTTACATAATCCCCCAGAGCAACACAATTTGAAAACCAAATAATTAAGTATTAGTACTATACCCCAAAACCAATTTTCCTGAGAACCAGTTGCTTCAGTATTACAGTTCTGGGGTTGGTTGGTTGTTTGGTTTTTGTTTTGATTTGTTTTGTTTTCCTTTTCAAACCTTGGAGTGGATTCTGCATCCTGAAGCATGTTAAAATCATGTCACAATCCAAGATTGTAATGACAGATTGCTGTGTCACTGTATACCTTACCTAGAGTGTCCTGGACCTCAGTTCCAGAAGAGATTTAATCATTACCCCAACACATCCCCTCTCCAACAACAAAGGGATTTAAGCAAGCGCTTAACTAAACAGAGGAATCATAGCACGTGTGTCTATGCTGTGCTGGCTTAGACATCCGGAGTGTAAAGCCAGGATAAAAATACTGCAAAAGGAGAGCAGATATGGACACTGCAGGGAGGAAGACTGTAAGTCAAAGTCCTTGTAAAGCCCAAGAAAGCAAGGACTAAAAAGTGCTGGATGCATCAGAAACCCAGAAATGTCAAAAACTACTTGCGTGAGGTGAAGCCAGCTTTGCCAGCAGACGAGCAGCAGCCCGCAATGGCTGAGAGGCAGCAGTGACTGAGCCAAGGGAGCCATGGCCCTGTGAGTGACCCCCTACGGAGGAGCCCCTGCCTGCAGCACCGGCTCTGCCCGGCCACCCTGGCCGGAGCTTCAGTGCCCTGCCCGCTCTCCGTCTCCATCCGCACAGCCCCGCTCTGCCAGCTGTGCCCAGGCTGGGCGGCTGGTGCTCCTACCCACGTCTGAGCTGCAGGGCTGTGCTTCACCTCCAGGCTCTGCCACACCGTCCTGCACCATCCTCCTCCTCTGGACCCGCTCTGGAAAAGGCAGGCCTGGAGCTGGGGATGCCGCAGCCTTTCTAGCATTTGAGAGCCAGGACGCAGCAGGTAGGAGCCAAGAGGAAGCCAGTGCCATTGGCACAGCCATCGCTGTAGCAGGGGTAAGGAGGTGACGAAAAGCAGAGGTAAGCACCAAAGCTGTGGCTACTTCTGCCCAAGAGAGGTTGTGCCGCACTGCATCAGCATCAGCTTACTGTTGGTTATCCAAGGGCTTTTCAAACCACGTGCAGCCTGGCCATGAAATTGAGGGGTTGCAGGGCATAGGCTGCTAACATGCAGATAGGAAGGCAAAGACTGGAAAGAGTTGCAGGAACCCAGCTGGGTCATCATGATGAAAAGTTGTTCTTTGGGCCCAGTACCAACCCTGGCTGCAGGGATGGGAGCTGGCACTGCCAGAAAGCCAACAATAAAAAAGGTGGAAAGAACAGTAGCAGAGACAAAGAAAACCACGTTAAACATCAGTCCTGAACTGGCTGTTCTCATCTTGCTCCTTCCTTCCTCTACAGTAGACTACCCCCACTCAGCTCTCAATTTTAGCCAAATAAAAAGCACAGGTTTGGCCACACCTAGAACCACAGAATGGAACAATTTTACACAGGGACGAGAGCAAAAACTGGAACCTAGCCTTTGCTGCGGTAGGCACTCTCCGTCATGTGCCTTTATAATAAGCAAATAAAATTCTCATTCTTTAAGAAGTTTAAGCTCTGAAAGATCATTATCTGCCACATTACATCCAAAGCTGTATACTGCATCACCACCTCCCTGCTCCTGCTCAGCTCATAATTCCCACGGAAAATTCATAAAAGCTAATATAGCATCTCTTCATGCTGCTCTCAGGATTCACTGAGTTTTAAGCAATGATTTGCACTGCATCCCACTACCCATTTCCCTTCAGTCACATAACAATCAAGAAACAAATGGCATTGCAATAACCAGCGCTAATTTTAAGACACAGAAGAATAATGTGCTCTCTACAAAAAAGTAAGATCCTGCAATGCTGCCACTTAATTGACTCATGGTATTATGAGCAATTACAACACTCAGAATTTGGAGCAATTTTAATAGCTCTTGCTACTTAATAGCTCTCGCTATCAAAACCAAAAAATCCTGAACTCTGCCTACAGCACCATCACTCATCTGTTGTGTGATTTACAGACCCTGATGCACCGAGCTCACGTCCTGTTCTGGGCTTCTACTCGCTACTGTCACACAAACAACAGCACGTGTAAGATGTCTCTTCTGATCATTAGATACCAGCACTGAAAAAGCTCTTTCTGGCCACACCTCGACCCTCTTGACATGGCATCTTCCCCCCTCCAGCAGTTCGAGCCATCCTACACTAATGGCAGGGAGCTGAACTCAGGCACAGTAAGTAGCAGACACTTGCTCAGCAAACAAGGAAAACGAGATCCCATGCTCATCTACGTAAGCAGGATCCCATTTCCAGAAGTACCCATACCAGTCATGGTGCTATCCTGTCAGTTATTAATCCTATAATATCTGCCAGGTCAGGAACAAGGATTTCTCTCATTTTTTTGTTTTCACTTAGGCTTGTCCCCCCCATCGGGGTCAGTTACTCTGGGAATGAAACTTCTTGATTACTGTGTCAGAAGCAATAAACTCTCTGCTAATTGATGTCCGCGTAGGCTTTGACCCAACTAGTGGAGTTTAGCAGCATCTGCCACTGTTTATTAGACACCAAAATGAAGGATGTTTCCAGCTTAATGTGCCTGCCGCAGCCTAAAGTTCTGTACAACAAAACAAGCAGCTCTACACACATCTCTGGCTGTCTCCACATGCATCATCTTGCCTCCTGCCCTCTCAGCGCTGGCATAAGTGGAGGCAGAGATGCCATTTTCTTGAGCATTCAGCCAGCGGTACCCACAAGCTGGAGGACAAGTGAACAGTCTGCTACCCTCCCGGTTACCACACCATCAACACAGCAGCATATTTTCAGACGTGTTTCAAATTAATCTTCTGTCTCAGCCTCGAAAGCACTGCATTAACAAAGAATTTTGTATGTGAATGACATTTCAGTGACACTAGCACCTGAGCTTTTTTGCTGTTCTCTGGTGTAAGCGATGGTACAGTTCAATCTGCATTCAAGGGTCAATTGCTGATACACCTGGGTACTGAAAGCAGCCACTCTGTCAGAACTGTGGGCATCCAGCACCTTTCCCATTTTTTAATTACAGGAAATGGACACGTAAATGCTGTTGTGCAGAAGTGATGCCTCCGTTAAGACATGACAGCCCAACTTCCATATACGCTGACCCTGGAAGTATCTGTCAACACAATCTGGACTTGGAAATGTCACCTTTGAAAAAGCACATAAACCTACTAATTTCCCAGATCATTTTTGCCCTCAAAATATCAGGATTCTATTGGTACCATTGGGACAATTTGTCCAAGTTAGAGACTGATGCCTTGTTCCCATTTTACTGGGAACATCAAATGCATCCGTTTTAGCTAAAATGAGCCTGGTTATCACATTATTATTGAGGGGGAATGGCTGAATACACAGCTCTCTCGCTACGGAGGGCTCCATATTTTCCCGTGTCTGAGAGAGAGTGAGAAAGAGAGAGAGCGGGAGAGGAACCATGTCTGGAATTTCAGTCATATTGTACTCCTGTCAGGACACGAACTCATCTGGAAATAAAAAGCAAGGAAATAATGCATTCTTTCTACCCTGTACTTTGACCTTTACATTCATGTTGACCATCACTGCTAAGTTAAGCAACTTTAGAAATAAAGCAGTTTTGAAATCAGTTTGGTGTGAGGTTAACTCCTTATCTGAGAGGGAACAGCCTGCGCCAGGCAAACTGTTTTCTAAATAGAGACTGAAATGAAAAACGTACCTGAGAAGTGCTGATGTACTTGAGGAACCTGAAGGCCTCATAGCTGAGGGAAGGAGTTGGACTTGCCCATGGCTGTAGTTCAATGTGCCATCTTACAGCCTGCAAAGCAAAGCAAACCAAAAAACACCTTAAAGGAACAGGATTCATTTCTCAGTACAAACATAAAATGCAAGGGCTAATAAAGTAAGGAGATTTAATTTCAAACAAAAAGAGTTTCCTAAGGGCTTGTCTACACATGAAAGTCATTTCAGAATAAAGTAGGGTTTGAACTGCAGTGAAAGGGCATCTAACTATGATTTTATCATGATCAGCTTTGAAAGCAGATGTAGGTAATTCAGAAAGAAAGGGCTCTTCATCCAGGATACGTGTGTCAACACACTTATTCTAGGACACCGAAGTAAACCCTGGCTTGTAGAAACACATGAAGAAAACCAAGATCTGAATATCTAAATCCTTGAGCAAAACCATCTGAAAACAGTGAAAAAAATTTAATTCTATATGTATCACATGTCTCCGCTTGAATGTCCACTGAAACAAGAACTTGGATCGCAAACACTAATCACCAAAGGAAACCTCTGCGAACAATCTCTTTCCTTTTTTAAAATCTAGATTCAGTTCAAAAGCAGGCTTCTTGTGGTCTTTGAGAAAAAGTCCTCTTCCTCTCCCACACCCGCCTGATGAGATACATGAGAATTCTTTGTTTTCCTGAGAAAAACGCGTGGCTGTCAGTAGCCCCACCACTCCTCATTTCCATAGCCCAGGGAAGCAGCTCTGGTGGATGCTCTCTGCACTCCCTGTGAGCCCCCTCAGCTCTGAACCTTGGGGATCCTGTCAGATTTTCCAGCGACACTTCCCACACAGACAGAGCGGGACAGAAGAGGTCTTTCAGACACGTGCTTGCAGAGCAACGGGGCTCTGCGCTCCCATCTGTGCCACCTTCTCCAAATTCTGCCCGCTTTTGTCATGCTGGGAAGTTTTGACCTGTTATCTCTTGCCCTGAAGTAGATAAAAATAAAAGCACGATGTTAAGTTGTACTAAATTAAGACTGATTCCTCATGGCTTTTCATCTTCAGGCGCCGTAACTCACTTCTATGGCTGGGCAGGTAGTATCAAGCTTCCCCTTAATCATCCCCGATTAACTGAGCTTCCATAATGAACAGGATTATTTTTTTTTCCCCCATAGGCTCATGTTGACGTTCAAGAAGATACCAAACAAACAGAAACCCCACTCGGGATTCCCACTGGACCTTATTTCAAACAAAGCCCTGGAAAACATACAGGAAATAGCAATGGACGGGAGAGGATGGAGGCAGATCGGAGAGGCGAGGTGCTGAGCCCGCCAGAGAGGACAGCCCCACCGTCAGGCTGGTCGGCGACAGCTGGGACCTTCTGACGCCAGAGAGGAACTCGGGAAAGAAACAGAGGAGGCGATGCTAGAAACGAGAGATGATTAAGGGGGACCACCAGACCAGATGGAGTTTGCCTTGAGCTGATATCGTGAATCGGTATTTTTGCAGCCTAAGTAAACATACTCTGTAGTGAACGTGAGCCAGGAGGTCTGTATGAGGTTTATTGTTCCTTTAGGGGTTGCTTTTTTTTTTTTGCTGTAAAGAGACGCTGAAAAGGACATTTGAGATATTTTTTCCCCCCAGAAGCAGACAAAGGTAGCATTTCCCACTCTGCAACTTGCTGCCTGCAGCAGCCATAGGCTCCTATACCCCGCACCGCACAAGACACAACCCAGCAAGTCCCCTGCCCCGCGGGCTACCGAAGGCAGCCGGCAAACAGCTAACGGCAGGACGACAGGTGCACGCCGGGGAGGGAAACGCCTGTAACCTTTCAGAATCCGCCACGGTTCGCACGGCTGAATAACCTTTGCAATGACAGGAATGCTGCGTTTCAACAGGCTTGAAAGCTGAAATTAAAATGAAGACTGACAATCATTTTCAGGAAAAAAAAAAGAAAAAAAAAAACACCAACAAAAAAAACGCCCAGACACCTAAACATCTATGCCCAGTTATTCTGAAATCTATTTGTGTGAGAAGTAGCTCATTAAGTAGGGGAATTGCAGGGTGGCCATTGTGGGACCATTCAGCAAGAATTCCCTCTGCACACAGCTGACTGTGAAGAAAAAGAAAAAAAAAACACTATAATTAACAACGTGGATGAGGTTCTTTTTCAGCAGAGTGCAATATCAAAGAGCCACTGTGGCTTTCTCTCAGGTGCTTAAAATCTTAAAGATGACAAACTGCCTTTCCACTGTCTCCAAAATGTATCAATAACATACACTATGAAGATAAAAACCTCAGCGACTTAATAGTGCAGTTTCATTTTAAAAAAAAAAAAAAAAAGCCGGTGCGGGGGGAGGAGAAAGAAATCAATCTTTTCTATAGCTCTTTAAATTTAGGAGCGCTACATAAATACTACTTTTGTGACCGAGATCAAACCTGAGCTCCTGTCTGACAGCAATGCTTTGAGTAGCTTCTCAACCTTCACACTCGGCCCCTTGCTCCTTACTAAGCAGCAGCCTATTTCCATTCACTAATGAATACAGTAGAGAGGTCTGTTCCTAACACCTGCTAAACACCCCGATGGGGGGCTTCAACAGCTGCATGACAGTAAGATTCAGAGATGATGAACGGGGGTGAAAATGCAGGACCTCTCCTGGACCAGGTACACCCTCCCACCAGGTAACTCACTGGTGACGTGGTACGGGTATGCCCAGGACTCACAAAACGTCCTCCTGAAGGAGACATTCCCCATCTACATTGGTAGCCTTTGTTTATAGTTTTTCAGGTAATTTGCAGCCTGTTCCATAGTGTTTCCATGTAAGCTTTCTCAAATAAACTCTGCAGATAAAATGCACCCAGGTCCCTGCGAACCAACTGCTTTGTGAAAATCAAGTTTCTTCCTGATGAACACGTTTCCTATTTTGAGGCATTCTCCCCCTCTAGACTTTGCGATTTTATTTCCTCAAAGCAAACTTGACTGTGGTATCATGATTTGGATTTTCTCACTTGTCTCACAGAAGTCAACCGAGGGCAGGTCCCTGTGCCTGCTGTACCAAACCGGCTGAGGAGCAGCTCCTTTCACAGGGGGCTCCTACAGCAAGTACGCAAGAGGAGCAGAGGAGGTATTACGGTCCATATTACACAGCTCTGGGTACGGCATTCAGACAGACCTCCCCAAGGTCGCCCAGGAGGAGCCAGAAAACCAGTTCAGACATCCTCTATCTCTGGCTATCACCATCAGTCTGCTATCTCCATGTGGTAAGGATGCACCTAACAAGACAACACAACTGTTTTCCGAACACCAACGTATCCTGGTTCCACAACATAAAGAGATGAAAGTACCTGGAAAGTTACAATGCCACTTAAAAAACATCCTACTGAGTATCTTGAAGTATCCCGATATTGACATCGTTTCACTTAGCTGAAATTAGCACCCTAAGAAAAATCAGTCTTCAGCAAGAAGACTGGCACTGGTCAGGCACTGACTTCAGCTGCCCCAGAAGCGTAATGGATATCCAGAAAGTGCTATCCAGAAGGACATCTAAATTTTCACCACATGACATAACCACAGAGCAAAGAAAATCTTAAGGCAATGCCATTGCTTTGTTAGAAAAACTAGGACACATCTGAAGCTCTGATCCTTTTCCAGGTACTTCACACTTAAGGATAAGGTCTGATGTTTCTATCAGACCAATCTGACAGTAATCCACAGTGATTTTTCTCTGTAGATCACTTCTAGATTTTTCTCCCTCTTCAGCCATCTGTGACAGTCATCTGATAATCCCTTAATAATCTATAGTATACATATGGTATCATTTGTCCTAAAAATCTGAAATAATAATATAAAGTTTAAATCAACATGTGCAAAGGGCTCACAAACTAGCAGGTGTCAAATTGCTGGTTTGCAAAATTTCTAGCTTTCCTAGCATAAATTTGAACACAGAAGTATAAATCATTAAATTCTTTCCAGATCAATCGTACAGTTTCAGTGTGCTCAAACAGCCCAACCCCTCCCTTCCCGTCTGTTTACATTTGAAAGGGAATTAGTAAGTTTTCCACACTTCCATCTTTTTTAACTCAGTAAATGTTTTTGCCCTCCTTTAAATCTCCTTCCTTTTTAGCAGTCTATTAAAATACAGAAACATATTAGCCATGTTTAGAAATAAAAATTTGGGAATCCCATTGCCCTGCTAAGCAGTCTGTTGCTTCCAACGAAGAAACAAAAGACTTGTCAATACATACACAGATGTCTTAATCAAGGGAAAAACATAAAATGCTCTGATTAAACTGTGCAACAATAATTTCTCACATTTAAGTCAGAACCAAATGTGAACAGAAAGCACTTGTGGCAATAATCTCCATCAATAAACATAAATATTTGCTAGCCATAGAAACAGGTGGCATACAGATCTTCATCTCCAACCGTTCTGGCTGTACTCTGTGTATCACCATGCTCACCCCTTCTGGGAAGGTACAGCAGAACAGAGCTTGCTCGTGGGTGAAATTTTGCTGGGGTTTTATCAGTTTAAAATGCAATGGCTGGAATTCAAAATCCAAAATTTCAGACATCTACAAGATAAATGTATATTTACTGGATTGCATCCCTGAAGGCCAGCCCTTGTGACAGCAGATTGACCCTAGATATGATTTACAGGGCTTGGCCATCGTTTTCTTTGGGCTTTCTCTGGAGTTCCAGTGGCCCTAAGCATATTATTTTGTGGGTTTGTTTATCTTTTTTTTTTTCCCCCAATTCAAAAGTACCTTAAATAGCGAAAGCAGAGTGTTGCAGCCCACCAAGTACTGGCTTTGCCTCGCAAGGGACATGCAACAAGTGCAAAGCCCACTGAGACGAGTGGGAAGGCTGCTGAGGGTGGAGGCGGCCAAACCTGGCACGTTGCTCCTCTCGCTGATGACACGGCATGGCTCCAGCAGGGAACGATCCCTCGTGAACACCCACGTTCAGCTTCAGAGGCAATTAGCTGGTCAACTCCAAGGGAGAGCTGGGAATGAAGAAACATTCCTGCAGCGAGGACAGCCAGGGACCAAGCTGCCACAGTGGGCTGGGGAGCCAAGTCATTTGACAGGACCGACGAGGCAGACAGGCTCTTTAAGGGAATGATTCATCTCACTGTAGAGAAGACGTCTAAAATAAGTAAGATGAGTCATGCACTGGAAACATCCATTTCTCTCCATGGCCTGCAAAGGAAGCCTGGAGGACAGGGGCAGATGCATCTACAGCGTAGACATTCAGCATCACAGAAGAGGAACCCCAGACCAGAATATCACACATGCCATGCTGCAGGAAAACTTGTACTTTAGAGAGCTGAGACTATTCTTCAGCTGTGAGCCTCAAGCAATGCTTAATTGTACTTTATTCTTCAGCAGGGTTGAGTAATTCCAAACATTTTGTGTTCGGAGCAGCAATACATGGCACAAGTAAAACAAACTCTACCTCCAAGCAGAGGTGTCAATGGGAAAGAACAAGTAAGCCTCAGCCTTGGCAAAGACCTCCTTGAGAAAGGTCAATTAACACGGTCCCCTTCGGCTAAATATAATCAGCAGCATACAGAGGGCTCACAAGAGGTCCACTTATAAAAATGTGCTACGCTACATTGTTAATTCAGATGTAGCAGGGACACATACAAGCTCAGTAAGCTGTAATTTAAAATACAGGCTTACAAAGTGACTATGACTCATATTTAAAGCTCTCAGTGAATTAATTTCTAATGTGGCTGGCTTTATAGGTATCCCATCCTTACATGTCTGACCTGTTTCTTTCCCTTTTTTTTTCTATTACTGTTTTCCATTTTTCTTTGCAGTTTGGCTTTCTTAAACATACAAGGTTTTCACTTAAGAAACCATATTGCAGAAGTTGCTACACGCGCTCCTGCTCTGCAGGTGTGTGCCTGCATCGAGAGAAAAGCAGCGAGTTCCCTCTGAGCCATCAGGCATTGGGAGTACCACGGGGAAACGCAGCGGACATCTGGTCCTGCAGCCACCTAAACTCCGCATTTCCACTCCAACAGTGAAACTCTCACCCGCTGCACAAAGTCCATAATGAACTGAAAAAAAAAAAATTAATACAGGAAACCTATCTATTTCCCCATTTTTAACTTTTCCGAGCTTATCTAAAGCAGAGGCACCTCTGACAACACTGCACACAAGCACACAGCCGCCTTCGTACCCAGGCACTACAGGGTTGCTCCATCCTCTGTGGGCACCAGGCTCGCGCAGGGTACGTATGGACTCCGTCCCACAGACACGCTCCAGCCCTGTAAAACCGCGCTGTCCTGGCGAACCACAGAGGGTTCGGGTTGGAGGGGACCTTTAAAGATCACCTAGTCCAACCCCCTGCCACAAGGTACATCTTCCACTAGATCAGGTTGCTCAAAGTAAATAGTGTTGATCCCAGTATAGACCCTTCAGGGACACCACTCGTTACTGGTTTCCACTTTGACACTGAGACATTGTCTATAACTCTGGATACGGCCATCCAGCCAATTCCTTAACCGTCTAGCAGTCCATCCATCAAACCCACCTCACTCCAATTCAGAGGTAAGAATGTTGTGGGGAGTCATTATCAATTGCCTTACAGAAGTCCAGGTAGATGACATCCGTAACTCCTCCCTTGTCCACGGATGCAGTCACTCCATCGTACAGGGCCACCAAACTAGTCAAGTACGGCTTGCTCTTGGTGAACCCATGTTGGCTGTCCCTAACCACCTCTCTGTCTTCAGTGTGTTTTGACATATCCTTCAGGAGGATCTGCTCCATGATCTTATCCAAAGATTTGATGGCAGAACATTAGGCTGAGGAACAAAAGCTTTGTCCAAGATGAACAAGCAACGTAACACACAGAGTCAGGCTCCCCCATGCAACAAGTCTATTTACAAGAGTAAACCCTGCCTATGGAAACCAGTCCTGTGATAAGGGTGTTCTCTGCATTAGTAAGCGGGTGTCTTCAATTTAAATCAGCTTTTGACATGACTTGCCTATGAAGAATTTTAATAACTAGAGGTGTTTGTATGTCTGGACACGTGTGTTGCGACTTGCCTATGAAGAATTCTAATAACTACAGGTGTTTGTATGTCTGGACACGTGTGTTGTATGTTATTGCAGAGGGAACTTCTAGGATGCACTGAACTCTCCCCTAGCTCCTCGCACTCCGTACATCACCTCCTCCAGGCCTCTGCAGTGCAGCACACATTTGTCTGCCAGGGAGCAGGCTGCGATTGCTGCAAGAGCCAACTTACACATCTCTGAGCATCTCCCAGAGGGTTTCGCTGGAGAGCAGTTTATCAGCCCTTGCTTCCCAAGGCTGCAGTCTGCACCAGAAGTAAAACTCATACGCTTACCAGGGAAAAGGAAAAAAGCAGTATGACTTGAATGCAAAGTTTTACATTGAAACGAAGAAAACAATTTTCTGACTTCAATTCTCATTAGAAAAGCTTTGAGCCACTGCATGCTAATTGAAACCATATGAGTCTTTACGCTCATAGAGCAAATCAGTCTGAACATGCATACATAACCACCCTGGAAAGGCAGCAATTACCAAGCATTTCACCTCTGCTCTCCTTTTGTTAATATTCATGTTTATTTTCTGCTCCTTTTGCTTCTGATTTCCCATCTGACAGTACAAAATGGAGCCACGCGCATACAAATTACAGCTCTCGTGCTGGCGGTGGAACTGCTGGCCTAACCTGCAGGCCAGCCACACCAGCAACCTTGATGCAAAACACCAACAACTTCGACGCCTTGGGAGGTTCAGCATTTCACACGCAAAGCCCACGGCCAAGCTCTCTTCAACTCTACTTTTAGTTTTGTGTCTTTTCCCCCAAACAAGCGTCTCGTAAGAAAAGCATACGCAGGAAAAAAAGGATGCTTGGCACTGACTTTAAGTGACAGAATTTATATCACTTTAAGAATTAAGAAACGGCTTTGGAAAAATAAAGAGCACCTTCCAACACTAACATGACATGGCCAGATCTGTAGGGGAATTGAGGCGACTAATGCTCCATTGAATTAAAATCAAAACCCTGACTTCCAAAGGAAATGAGCACAGGGAACCAGCTTACCAGGTCCAAATGAGCCACTGCGGACCCTCCCCTGTAAATTCACCAGCGGACCCGGGCTTCAGCGACTGACGTACATCACCCTGGGTGCAGGTTTGTCACTTACAGGAAGCACGTGTTTCGGAACACTTGCCAAAATATTAATTTGTAGGTACTTATGAATTCAGAAAGCACTGCATCTAATTTATTATTTATGTAGCATAACTACCTCCCCTCACTACCTCTGAGGAATAAATCCACTGCAACCAAAGGAGCCGGGAGCTGCAGAGGTTGGAAAAGGCAGCCTTGCACCGGGGAACCCCTCCTCGGACCTTCAAAGGTCACCAAGGACTGACAGCTCTGCCGTTGGAAATCCTAGCAACACCAGGCAGAAATATACATTTATTAAGAGAAATGGATTTTACCTGCTAAGAGACACACGACTTCAAAAACAGTCAAGTGGGATTTCTTTGCTATGGTAATAAAATAAAATAAATACATCGGGCAGCAGCATTCCAGCGCTATCCAGAGGCTGACAGCGTGATAATTTATATCTGATGGAGATAAAACCAGGAGCCAGAACAGATTGAAATTTATGGCAGTAAATTCTCAAAACTGCTTAAGCAGCGTAATACTCAATCAGCTGAATTATTTCCAGTGCCTGCATGCCTTTGCCAACACTTACTGATAACAGCAAGAAACAGATACAGCAAGTACTGGTCACTGCTTGTCAAACTCAGACTTTATCTAAGCAGAGGCAAGACCATGCTTTCAACCTGTATTCATAACTGCTTTAAATTAAGTGCTTTACTTGAGACAATATGGGAGATGTCATAGTCCGTACAATAGGGGGGGGAAAAAAAGCTTTTTTCCTCTAGGCTGACTTCATTGCAATATTCTAACCACAGCGTACAACAAACAGAATTCATCAGTAAATATTCAGCTAGCCAGATAAGCCGAGTTTATTTTCTGCAAATTCCAGCACTCTAACTGTGATTTACAGATAGGGACGTCCCTGGCAGCCTATCCACTGACATTCGCAGGCTCTGCCTGAGGCTAAGAACTGGGTAAAAAAGAAGGCGTTTTAAAGTAAAACTTAATGTTTTCACACAAGTAAGAGCATTTCGCACTTGTGCAGCTTTCTCTCTCTTCCAAGTGGAGTGCAAATGTCTGAACAGAAATGGTCCAGCACACCTTCCAGCCCAAAGGGAGCTCTGAAGCATCAGAAAACGCCTTCCCCTTCATCTGACCCCCGGGGAAAGGACCAGGAGGACCTCCTGTGCCCAGGGAGCAGGAAAGGGCAGGATTTGTCACTAGGCATCTATCACAGGCCAAGTAAACATTAAACATTAAACCCACGGGCTGAGTGACTTCTACAGGTATTGAGGTTTGACAGTGTAAAACCTAAGGTAAGACAGAAAATATTCACAACGGGTACCTAGGGGCTTCCATCTCTCCAACCCACCATCAGCTCACTTGGTCATACTGGGTTTTACTGGATAGTCAGGGAAGACTTAAAAAGTCAAACTTCACTTTTTATTTCTTCAACTTCTTATTTCATACAAGTGTTAGTTAACAAAACAAGGTAACGGAGCTCCACAGAATGAAATGTATACTAGCTTTACATACATACTCTACAAACATACTCCCTTTCTTGTTTTTATGATGATTATGGGTTACTGCCCTTAGTCCAGAGCTATGTAAAAATCTTCCAAGCAAAATAAAACAGCGTGTTGGGCAAGTAGTTCCCCATGTCTACAAAGGGAATGAGAGCTGGCTTACAAGTTGTTAGGATTTTAAATACAAGATGATACGTTTATTTTCCAATTTATAAAGAAGAAAATCAAGCTGATTTCAAAGCCCACAGTTTTGAAATATTTTTTTCTTCAAGACAAGTATAGACCCAAGTGTCATAAGCCCACGGAGGATGGGCTTGGGCAAATATGCACCATCCTCTTTACCTAAGGACATTTTTCAATGTTTTATTACTAATTTTGAGCATTTTACAGAATATATCACTGAACACAGCTACACAGTTTGACCCTGAACTCCTGATGTACCCAGAATTCCCACAGACTTCACAATGAATAATAATTGCAAGATCAAACCATTAGCCAAGACATCTAACCAAGAAGAAGCACATCAGCTCAGGAGCAGCCAATTGCCACATAATTGCTTCTTGTTTAATGTTCTCAAAAGAGCAAGGGAAAAGGAACAAGATGCTGTTGCTTTGCTCTACTCAGGATAAAACAAAGTTCACTTCTTTTAAAGTTTCAGTGCCACAGAACAACCGTGAGGAAAGCCCAAACAGAGACAATGAGTATTAACAAATTGTATTGTTCCTCTGGGGTTTCTTCAGGCAGCTCCTACCCTGCAGCGTTCACCTCTGGGATAAATCTTGATCTTCCGCTACTGCCGTCAACTCTGCAGGGAGCAGGAAGGATTTCAAACTGATTTTTATCATTTTTAGGCTTCTAAGTGGCAAGTACTATTTAACATTACATGCCATATCAATAGACATTACCATCTCTTCCCCCTAGCATTTCAAACACTGTTTCTTTGTAAAATATTAAAGAGGATGTTAAATAAAGGGCACTGACTTTGAAGCCCTCAGTTGATTATCTGACTTAGCTAGCTGCTAGGAGAGGAATGAGGAAGAGGGCTGGGGATGGATGGGGCAAAGGGGGGGAGGTTAAAGCAGCGACAGCAACTCTATGATGTTAACGTTCCCTGGTTCTAACATCATTTTCAACTGCATGCATTTCCCAACCAGGTCAAGCCCCTGGCACATCACTGATACTTGCTGCTTTGCGACTTTTTGTCTATGTTAATTTTCCCCACCCAGACCACCACAGACACACAAAAAAATGAAAATAGTGACTTATTACCTCATCAAAACCAACAGGAAGAATACGGAGCATCCACTATTTTAGCAACATCCCCACGAGAGACGAGTTGCCTAACTGGCTCTTTGCAGGCCTTTCCTTGCTAAGCTCTCAAGGCCCACGAAGTTTGTCTCCCACACCCCAAGAAGGGCAGAGGGTTCAATTCCTTCAGTCCGCAGGAGCCACAGGGTCAGTTTTGGAAACGACGCAGAATTCTGTCACTTCCAGAAAAACCTACAGCAATGTGCCTGAAGCTGCACCTGAAACCTATCAGAAAGTGGAACCCGAAGTAAACTTCAGCGGGTCACTTGCTAAATGAGCTGTTAGTTAGCTCTTTCTGCAACAAGCATGTAAACCCAGAGGTTTTCCATGTAAAAACTGAAGCAGTTGGCTTGACCTGAAAATCCTAAGAGACTTCGGAAGCCAACAGCTCACTGGAAAGTCCTCCTGGTCCTCTATGCCCAGAAGCGAGAGAGGCCCCCATCAGACAATGGGGAAGGGCGGCAGCAGGAAGGACCTTCCTCACAAGGTCCCCCAGATTTGGGATTTGCAAAGCCAGAACAGTTCTGTGGTACTGACTTTCGAAGAACGCTGCGAAGTCATTTTGTTCCCATCTGCAGAGTATACGGAGAAGACTTCAGTGAGAAGCAAGATTTCTGTGTATGTGGTAACAGCTGCTGGAACTATTACATTTATCATTACATAAAGACATAAGGAAAGGTTTATTTATCGTATTTATGTATGTGTCAGGAGGGGCATAAATTACAGGGCTAGTTTTTAAATGTTGTAAAAAATGAAAAAGAAAGCAGAATAACCACCAAGGGATTGCCCCAGAGCC